CCTCCAGTATCTTCTACACAGCATGCAAGAGTACTGAAGTGATAAACAGACAAACTCAAAAATAGAAATACTTTTACTAAAGAATTTAGAGAATGGTAGCATTTATTTAATTAAAAAAAAATTAAAGAAAGAATAAGCATAACAATGTATCTGTGACAATACCTGGCCCACGGTAAGGATTTACTAAGGAAAAGAAAGAATATCAATCAATTATGAATTATGATTATGAACACTGGAACAAAGTAGTATCAAAAGAATGTTGTTGTTGTTGTTATGTGCCGTGGAGTCAGTTCCGACTCACAGTGACCCTGTGCAGGGTTTCCGAGGCTGTAAATCTTTAAGGGAGCAGAAAGCCTCATCTTTCTCCCGTGGAACAGCTGATAGTTTAGAACTGCTGACCTTGAGGTTCGCAGCCCGATTCGTAACCACTACGCTACCAGAGCTCTTTATCAAAAGGATACCATACTAAAAAAATTTTTTTCTTAATTATAATTTAGTTAAGACTATATGAAGCCTTAGTCTCACTAGATGTTCTACATATGGATTATTATTCTACATATATGACGTACTAGAAATGAATCTAAAATGTAAAGAAAGGAATATGCAGGAGATACTAAAAGGTAATTCACGTAAGAGGAAAGGGATTGACATTTTTTTACTTGAAGAGACAGTAAAGAGACTAGAGATGATAAAAGATAAAGTGACAACATCGAATAATTCTCCAACTCAATGTTACATAAGAAATGAAATTCTTTTAATAAAATCATAAAATAAAATTTTAATCTACAAAACATGTCGCATTCACAAAAATCATTGAAGTTAATTTTTCATTTAACTTATGACAGTAAGAATGTCAAAAATAATGTAATTGCAGATTTAAAGTATGAAGACTACAAGTATAACATTTCTACTTTTATAAGAATAAAAGGACTAATTCATTAATTTATAAATACAAATAACTACTCTTGTGAGAAATAATGTTCTCCTTTATACCATCTAATAAGACCCAACATAGGTTGATGGAATCTAGAGCTGTTAGAGTGAAATGCAGTCATGTGATACTGCAGGATAATGTGTTAGACTGCAAGGTCAGCAGTTCAAACCTACCAGCTGCTCCTGGGAAACCCTATACAGGGTTGCTATGGGTTGAAACTGACTCGACAATACTCAACAACAACAGAGTAAAATGGATATTATCAACTTGTATTATTAAATCAGACCTACCTTCTTGTTCCTCCCAAATAAAGAAATAGGTCCTAAAAATAAAATTTATTTGTCCAAGTCTCTCAATTTATGCTATTAAAGTTCTCTACATAAACTAGACCCAACTAGGGTACATAAAACATGAGGCATATGATCTATCAACATAAAGAAAAGTTCTAAAATATGAACTAGATTTTGTCAATTACTTTATCTATTTTGGTAAGAAATTCATTTCAGACGCTGCTGTACAATGAACATTAAATACTATGACATTACTATGCATGGAACCAGGTATTTTTTCTACCTCTTTACAAATTTACCTATTTCATACTCTACCAAAAAATATATACTTATGTGATTTGTTACGAGTCTTTGAAAAGACTAAGTACTGTTATACCAAAGTAAGTTACTAGAAGGAAAAGAAAAATTACTACTCCACCAAACCCAAAGACCACCTGCTGGAAATAAATTACTTCTACTTGTATCCCCAGTATTCTTTCTTATATTCATGAAGATAATTGTTCTGGTTCTCTGAAAAACTGTATTGATTATTTAATGCTAATGATCCACGTGGCGCTGCAGGTTAATGCACTTGCCTGCAAAGTCAGTCTGAGCTGCCAGGACTCCTTGGACAAGAAAAAAAAAATCACTATTTGCTGCTGCTGCTGCTAGTACTACGATCACCACCACCACTTAACCATTTTATACACGCCAAAGATGCCAGCTATAGCCTAAGTACTTTATCAGTATTAACTTGTTTGAACCCACAACAACCTTGTAAAGTAAGTACTGTTAAGATCCCCATTTAACAAATGGAAAAACTGTAGTAGCAAAAGTTAAAATAATTAATCAAGGTTACACGATTAGTAAACAGCAAAGGTGTGATTAAAACCCAGGCGGTCTGACTACAGTGTTCACCTCTTAACAAATTTAAAGAAAAAATACCACTTCTCTACCTTATTTTAACTATTACTAATCACTTATTCTACATTTTATTATTTTCCATTTTATCCCTGAGGCACCTATGTACAAGAGTGAGTTAAAAATTTTCCTCAGTCCGGTTATATTAAAACACCCAGAGCTCTGGTAGCGTAGTGGTTACGAATCGGGTTGCGAGCCTTAAAGTCAGCGGTTCGAAACTACCAGCTGCTCTGTGGAAGAAAGATCAGGCTTTCTACTCCCGTAAAGATTTACACCCTCGGAAACCCTGTACTGGGTCGCTATGGGTCAGAACCGACTCAATGGCACTTAACAACAACAATCCACATCTACAGCTGATGACAACATTGAGCGTACCAGTGAAATGATTTTATCAAACAGAGAATGGCAATGGATTATGTGGCAAATCATTTGTAAATCAGCCAAGGCTCTGCCTATGAAATCATCCACAACAGACTAGGGTTTGGAAAGTTTGTGTGAGATAGGTACCACAGAAGAACATAAACAGAAGAACATGGACATCTGCAAACAAAATTTGGACTGATACTCGAAGGAACGTAAAAGTTTCTTTTAAAAAATCATTACTGGTGATGAGACATGGATTCATCACTATGAGCCTGAGAGAAAATGGCTGAGTATGGGATGGAAACATCCTCAATCACCGACCAAGAAAAAGTTCAAAAGTCAACCATCGTTGTTTTAATTATTATATATTTCTGAGTGTTTTTGTGTACATCTCTCCTCCGCCCCCCCAAAAAAAAACAACAACAACAAAAAGAAGGAATGAAAGTAAATACTACTGAATGATGCAGTAATCATTGCAATGAAACGATGGTGTAAAGCTGATGTTCTCCCAAGTAAACTATCATCAGTTCACAACAAAAACAAACAAACCATCAGCTGAAAAATTGATGTTTACAGTTTTCTGGGATTCTCAAAGGCCTGTTGAATTAGCAGGAAAAAGGTTCAACAATCAACAGTACTTACTACAGTGAGATACTCATTGAACAGCTGAAGCCTAAACTTCTGATTAAATGCAGAGGACTATCCCAAGGCACTGCGATCTTGCATGACAGTGTACATCCACACACCGCTGCCCACACTGTTGAAACTCTGCAAAAACTTCTTGTTTTGAGGTGTTAAACCATCCTCCCTATAGTCCTGATCTTACTCCATTGGATTTTCACCTGTTTGGCCTCCTAAAAGTAGCCCTTTGAAGATTCCCCTCTGATGAAATAGTGAAGACAGTAGTGCATTCGTGGCTCTAACCTTCTGAGCTGACCTCTCTGTCATCAGTGTAACAGGTCTAACAGATCCCCTTGAAAGCCACTCTTCTGATTGGACCTGTTCATTAGGTCACCTTAGTGAGACTCCCACTGCCAACCGAGTCAATTCTGACTCCTAGTGACCAAGTATATTCCAGAGAAAATTTGTCTGCAGCCAGTCACTGATCACAAAGACATGGTTAAATAGGTTTTGTTTGGAATAAACTCAGGCATGTATGAACTAGAACCCTAGTAGCAATACTTTTTACTTATCTTCATGCAAGGAGCCCTGGTTACACAATGGTAACACTCGAAAAGGTGGGCAGTTCTAACCCACCAGCCACTCCGAGAGAAAAAAGACATGGCAATCTGTTGTCATAGAGATTCACAGCCTAGGAAACCTTTGTGGGGTGGCTCCACTTGGTACTGTAGGGTGACTGTGAGTCTGAATCAACCCGACAGCACAAAACAATAACCAGTTACATAGCATTCCGGACATGTACATTAATTTGTAGTGACTGAAAATGAACCCTGCAGCTGCCCAGGAAAGAAGAAGAACTGGGGGGCAGGGAGTCTGAATGGTCTCGAATGCATCTTTTCCAGGCATGATGTGTATATCATGCTGGTCATTTAGAAAATACTTGGTTCGCTAAGTTTTGCAAATCTTACCAATGTTGACAGATTTCATTCTACAACATGAAAATGTCAGCGCCACCACCAATCTCATCAGATAACAGCCAAGATCATAGTGACATACACAAGATTTTCAAAATTCTGATTTTTACTGGAAGTTCAAATTCTATCAGGCTCACTGTGATCATTTGCAAGAATTACCAGAGTTATCTGTCAGTCATTCCGTCAAGTAAAAATGATGTTCCATGAGGAAAAGTGGCCAGTTCAGCTCCTACCTCAGACGATCCTACAAGTGCTTTCCCCTCACATACTTGCCGGCAAAAATGTTTTATGAGTACTTCTCATTTCTTCAAACAGAATATTAAAATCTTAGGGCTAAGATTCAATAAAATTAATAATTTGTACTGGTTCATCAAAAGCACTGTTAAATGAAAGTAACTTTAAAAACAAAACAAAAACACCTGTGAGTTAATAAAGGTGAAGAAAATAATGACTATGAATACAGTTTGGCACCACTACCTTGATCTGTGATAAGGTGCCGGGAGGTACACCGATCTTTGTTTTTGCCCCATTACTGCAAATGTTAAGAAAGTAAAAGACAATGCTAATTATGAAATACTATTATGAAACTAGTTATAACCTCACAGACTTGAAAAAAAAAAGTCTCAGGAACCTCTAGAGCTTTCTGGTCCATTCCTTGGCAACCGCTACCCTAAAGGACAGAGAAAGAATTTCACGGAAGTAGTTTACAAACATTAGCGTATAGGACAGAAAAAGAATCTCTAGTTCTCTCTCTAGTCTAATTGTGTCATTTTATAAATGAGGAATTGAGGCACAGAGGATTTTACCATCTTATATATCAGAAGCAGAGAGCATTCTTTGTAGTACATGTTTTTCCTTGTTTTTAAAAAATGATTTAGTAAATTCAGCTATAAGTTCAACAAGGACATAAATACATACAGTTTGTGGGGGAACAGGGTTTACATTTCCTGATGGAGAGTTGAGTTTTATGGCCTTTCCAGGAGCAACTTTTGCATCCACATGGTATGCTTCCTTATCAAAACAATGACGTTTTCTAATCTGTAAGCACAGAACCAAAATGAAGTTTAATGTAAGCTTATACAGTCTGAGCAGACTATTTGTTCTGAAAAGTCAAAATAACTCTGTTTTCTGCTAGAATTTTTAAAAAGGCAACTGTTTCTGATTACTAATACTCAAAATAATTTTTAAAACCCAACTAGGTACTTCATGTAACATTTAAATGAAATACAGAATATAGTCATACCTTGTAAATTATAACCAAAATAGTTTTAATTAATGATATAGCAAAATTACTATTGTTATTTATTGTAAAGTGCATTGAGTCTATTCTGACTCATAAAAACCCTGAATAAGGTTGCCAAGGAGCAGGTGGTAGGTATGAAACACTGACCATGTGGTTAGCAGTCCACTGCTTATCCTATAGCACCATTGTTGCATTGTTAAGTGCTGTGGAGTCAATGGCAACTCATAACTATCCTGTATAGGGTTTCCAAGGTGGGTTTGAACTGCCGACCTTGTGGCTCACAGTCCAGCGCCACACCAGGAATCCTCCTATAGCATCGTAAGTATTTGCAAAATGATCTTTGCAAACAATAGTTCTGCCATATGAACATGAAGTATGGGATTATAGCAAAGTCCAATTATGTAGGTAACTGGAAAATAAAAGTACAATAATCAAAATTTGAAGCCTTGTTCTACATTAACTGTATCTCAAAATAAATGTTTTAAATATAAATATTCATGACTCCGTCATGATAAAAAAAAAAATTACGTGATTATCATTGTTTACTGAGTATCTGATAATTCAAGTTGTCTTTTGCCTAAATTTGTTTTATAATAACATTTTTTTCTTTCCACACTGTCTCTATGCTTTTCCTACTTGCCAAAAATCTGTTTGCTTACATTATGAGGAGATGATAATACCATCCTGATGAAAAAGCAATAAGAACCAACAAACTGAAAAAACAGAAGTCTTATGTTGAGACTTAGCTCACAAGATCCAATTCTAGATAGACAATGGCGGAAGGGGTGAGAATCAATACTTTTCAAAAGTCAATGTTTCAACTTTCTTGTTATCCTACATTTCACATTTACAACAATAGTAAAAAAAATCTACTATATGGCAATTTTGCACATTAATGACATACATCTGGCAGGAATGAATACTGAGGTTCTAGACAGGGTCCCTGACCAGAGGACCACATGTGCACTGAAAAAGAAACTTATTTGTATTTCACCACTTGGAATGGGAAAAGGGGGGCACAGTTCTTGAGAAACCAAGGTATTGGGCAGAGGAGCAGAGGGGCTGCAGTGGGGCCAATGGAAACGGGACACTGCCTGGTAAGTCCTGGATGCCCACCAGGGGCTGAGGCCAGGTGAGCAGCAGCCAATGTCCTGAAGGAGGGCTACCGTTAGGACTAGAAAGGAAGAGGGAACTAAGGTCTGATCCCAGCTCCCAGACTCAAAGGGGTAGCCAGGCAGAGTTGTGGTGAGAAGGAGCCCTGAAACAGGACACTAGGGTGCCCAGGAACCATGGGATCTCATGTCAGCTGACCAGCACCTGTGCAGCCTTATAATTCCTCAATGTCCCCCACCTGCTTGAGTACAGGTAAGAGCACAGCAGGCTATCTGGGCAGATGTGGGGCCAGCAGATAAATGGTCAGCAGCAGCTACAGCTTAAGGTTAAGAGCAGAGGCCAGGCCTGGTCATCACTGGTGCAGAAGAGACTCTAGATTGCAGATTATCATGGGGACATGGGGGCACTGGGGACAATACCAGCCAGTGAGAGGGGAGAGTGGGAGGACCTACTAGCAAATAGTGTGTACTGCCCTCCCCCTCTACCTGTGGCACCCAGACTCTCCACCCATGGAGAGGGAGCCCCCTGCCCCTGACAAAACCGCCAAGGGTGCTTTGGGGTCATTGAGGGGAGAAGCCGAGACCACCATCCTGAATATATGGTGAGAGCAGGAGAGGGAGAGGACTCTTGAGGATGGAGAGGGGGACAGTGCGTGGGACAGTGTTGGTAGACTGGTCAGCCCTCCCCTGCAGGCGGCAGTGAGGACTGATCTCTCCTAAGGTGACAAGCAGAAAAAGAGCAGTGGTGGCAGGGCCCAGCAGAGGTCACAGTATAGGTGGGTGAAATATGTAGGAAACTACAACACCCCTACAAGAAAAAGACAAATAACCCAATTAAAATATGGGCACAGTACAAAAATAACAGGACTTGAAAAGTACAAAATATCTATATAATATAAGAGGAGGCTTCAAAAAGTTCATGGAAAAATTCCATTATCTTTGAATTACATCTTTTCACAAACTTTTTGAAGCTCCCTCTTCTGTGTTTTGCCTTAAGTAATTTTTTATTGTCAAAGTCCTAATACGTACTATCCATATATAGGAAAGTACCAAGCAGTATTACTTTAATGACAAGTTCTTGTGAATAAGCTGCTGTTTTTCACAAATACCAAACTCCTTTGTAACAAGTTAACTATAGAAAATGAAGTTGGAACAGATAATCTAGTTATGGCTCTGAAATGACCCAACTAATCTTCACAGGTGCCACTGAAAACCGGACTGATACTTGACAACCTTGTTCAGCTGTAACTAACGGGATCGTTTCATTGCCAAAAAGCTCTTTACCTGCTGTGTAGTTTCTAAGAGGCGGATTCTTTTCTTGTCTACTTGAAAATCATCATTTTCATCTCTGTATACAGATGCCTGTTTCTTGGCAGATAACTTCGCAGCCAGTGTGTTTTTCTCAGGAGAATCTTATGTAAGAAGTCATAAAATATTATCATAAACAACTTAAGCATTTTTTCTACAAGAAAATTTAAAACAAGAAGTTTACATTTATCATAATGTAAAACATGAAATTTAACAGCATTTCCTCAGCACTCGGTTTACTTTAACAAAGATAATAACGAATATCTTGGCAAATGTGCTTTCAATAAAAGCCAAATTTTGACTTTTTAAAATCGATCTATACTTTTGCAGATACCAATACCAGTAACATGGTTTAAGAAATATAACTGAAGTATTCCAAAAAAAAATGTACTTCATTTCCATAGAAATCTTTCTTTACAATGTCTCAATATTCCTTTCCCGTTAACTTTCTCAATGTTCTTTAGGCTACAAATCAGTAGAATCAAGCTTCGATAATTTCTTTACTAACGTCACAATCCTAAAAGTTAATTACCAAGGTCATTAATGAACACTTAATCACAAAACATTAATTATCTCCATTTACAAATATGAACCCTAGGTATTTTTAAAAGTCAAGTAACAAATATAACTAGCCCAAATTCCTATGGTTATTAAGTGGCCCTGCTTGAATGTGACCAAATCCTGCATTGCCACGCCCAAGTCCATCAGCTTAACCTCTCTAGGCAAACAGCCAATAGATTCCCTTTGTTCTTTGCCATTGGTCTTACCTACTCTATACACTGGTTTCTCCCTTACTCTAAATCAGAGTATTCTTCAAGGTACCTTTCTTCTTCTCTACTCTTCAAAATGGTTATGGTCTCTCTACTCCCATCACTTGAATCCACACAATGGCCAGACACCATCGAAAAACAATGAAAAAGTAATAGCCCCTGCCCTTGAAGGATTTACAGATTAGGGGGAAAAGATCCACACACAAGTACCGATGTGGCACAATTCAAAATCTGAAGAAACAGCAACAATGGGTTCAAACATAGCAACAATTGTGAGGATGGCACAGGACCAGACAGTGTTTCATACGGTTGCACATAGTCATGGAGTTGGAATCAACTAACACTTAAAATCAACAACATATACACTTAGAATTTGGGTACGCTTTTGTATTTGGGTTATATCACATTAGCCCCTGACCTCATGGAGCGCATCTAATTAAAAAAAAATCTTAATTAGAGATTAATAAATGATGAAGGCATTCATACAAAACAAACTGTGACAAGTGCTATGAAAGAATCATATACAGTAAGATGACAGTATAAAATGTTATTGTTGTTAAGTGCCATTAAGTAGGTTCTGACTCATAGTGATCCTGCATAGGGTTTCCAAGGAGCAGCTGGTGGGTTTGAACCACTGACACTGTGGTTCAAACTGTCCTTATGTTCGGTGCATTATCCAGCAGTGCTACACCACAACTCTAGTCTGGCAGAAAGGTCAGGAACGGTGCCCCCAAGAAAGTGACATTTAAGCTGAGATTTAAAGAAAGACACCACAGAATCATTTTTTCCATGGCATAAAAAACAAAATGGTTTTTTTTGAGGCTCCCTAATGCAAGATTGGAGTCCTGGTATGGCGCTATGGATAAGCTGCACTGCAAAGTCGTTTGAACTGTAAGGTCGGTGGTTCAAGCTCACCAACTGCTCCTCGGAAACCCTATACCTGGTCGCTATGGGTCGGAACCGACTCGACAGCACTTAACAACAATGCAAGACTGGCAGTTCAAACTCACCAGCTGCTCCTCAGAAACTCTATACAGGGTCACTATGGGTCAGACCCAACTCAAAAGCACTTAACAACAACAACAACGAGTGTTGTGCGGTTGGGTAAGCACAGAAATGCTAGCCATAAGGCTGTTAATTCAAACCTACCAGCCGCTCCTTGAAAACCCTATACAGGGTCCCTATGAGTCAGAATTGACTCGATGGCACTTAACAACAACAAAGGAAGAATAGGAATAACAAGTTGAAAATGGAACTTTTTAGTCAAAGGACAGACTAATAAAAGCAAAGGCTCTTAGGCAGAAGAAAACATGACCCTTAGAAAGAAGTGAAAGAAAGCCAAAAAGACTGAGGTCCAACACCGTGTAGACAACACTGCTGATCACCCATTAAACATTTATTCTACTTCCTCATAGAACTTCACTTTAGTTCAAGCATCTACCTTCTTCCACACAGTTATGTGCCGATTCCATACTTAAAGAGATACTATTTGTATTTAATCCACTTTCTCCCTGCCAGTGGTTAAGTAATGGTAAGAATGAATACAGGAAGGTATTGTATGCTGTAAACAAGAGACTACGCTACTTTGAGCTGTTATTGTTGCTGTCCAGTCGATTCCGACTCATAGCAACCCTGTATAGGGTTTCTGAGGAGTGCTTGGTGAGCTTGAACCATCGACCTTGCAGTTCATATGACCTTGCAGTCCAGCGCATTAACCCACAGCACCTCACCAGGAGTCCAGCAGTATAATGGAGATGGAGAGCTGCATGAAGGAACATGCAAATCTGGGCTGCTGGTGGTGTGCCATGGAGTCAGTTCCAACTCATAGCAACCCTGCATAAGGTTTCCGAGGCTGTAAATCTTTACGGGAGCAGAAAGCCTCATCTTTCTCCCATGGAACAGCTAGTAGTTTTGAACTGCTGACCTTGAGGTTAGCAACCCGACTCGTAACCACTATGCTACCAAAACTTGTATTAGTGGAGACGGAGATTTGCATAAAGGAACAAGGAAGAACAAAGCGTCCGGGATGTCTCCTAGGTTAGGAAACTAATGGCTAATCCTTTCCAACAGTCAAAGGCAAAAGAAAGATAAAAACCACACATAATTGTATTTATTCTTAATATAATTCTCTTAAGTAAATCTATTAAGTATTATTAAGGATCATACTTAAAATTCACCTGATCTTTGTATCAGATACTGCCCTGAGAAAATCAAACAAACTTTATTAGGAATGAATGAAGATTTTGCCTTAAGATACAAATCAATATACTTATAATATTCTAACTAGAATTAACAACACTGGCTACTTATAACATTGATTTCTAAATATCATTTACTTTTACTTGTCTTCTTCAAAAATTATTTATGCCAGAAGCCTATCCAAGTAAGTCAAACCAGGAATAAAACATTAAAGGGTCTCTGACAACTGTACGTGTTCTTTTAAAATAATTTCAGAGAAATTAACTAGAGAGGTATAATCAACTGTGCCAACCAAACTTCCCCTAAATTTGGTCTCATAACAGCAGTAATTAATCAATAAAAAAGACACCAAGAATCCTAGTATGGTGCTATAGGATAAGTACTAGACTGCTAATCCTCAAGATCACTGGTCTAAACCTACCAGCTGCTTTCCTTAGGGTTGCTATGAGTTTGGTACTGACTGGAAGGCACTTAACAGATATCAACAGACTCAAGTAAAAGACAAATTACCTTGACAAGTTAATGAAGCAATATTTCTTTCAGAAGGTGGTGTACCTGGCCTACTGAAATGGTGTGATGTTCCTTGGTCTATGATGTCATTGTTGGTAAAACTTTTTGAATGGCAGGTACAGCTACATGACAATGGTACTTCAGCCTTTTTAGTGACGCCATCATCCACTGGTTTTCCTAAAAATGAAAAACAAAACAAAGCCTTGACTGAGAATGTCTCTAACTTAAAAAAAAAAAAGCTATCTCCTAAGAGGTGGGACTTTCCATGCTAAACCAAGAAAGCACCTGGTAAGCCAAAATAAGTTAGCCACCCTATCTGCAGCACCAAATTAGGATAGGGGAGAGACATTTATGCCAGAAATGTTTATAAAGAATTGGTCATAATTTATCAATATAGTCAAGATGTATAACATAAGCAAACAACAATTACTTTTAGAGCATTCATTTATATTGAGGTTTATTTTAAAAATCAAGCAAAAGGATAGAAACAAATACCTAAACAGTGTTCTTAATTATTGCTATTTCCCTAATAAGGAATATGAAAGTTCAATATATTAAAACAATAATGAAAGGCTAAACCATTCCTTACATTACACTTTTACTTCAAACAGAAACATGTTTTTAATGCATCAAGTCTCATGCATACATAATGTATAATACTCAAAATACACTTTAAGATTAACATTTTAAGTCAATAAAATAGGTAAATTTTCATTCCTAAACATAACACAGGATTTGTAATAGATTTACATTTGATACAAAATAATATATTTATCATAATTAGTGCTGATATATTCCCATCTGTACTACACAGATGCTACTAATTCTATTTTTCAGATGTCTCTCTTTAAAAGTTTGTTATTAACTGATATTCTTCAAAGAATAACATCAAGAATCAAAATGGACAACCAAGATGTTATTAAATATATACTTGTTATATTTAATACCGTCTTACCAATAGTATGAACAGGCTCTTAAAAATATAAACACATACACACCCATGATTAGCTTAAAATGTTCTTAATACAGTAGGCCAAAAATATCTAATAACTAAAAAGTTGCCAATACTGTATTTTAAATTAATTATGTAGACTATATAGTTTTTCAGTAAAAGAAAACATTGTTGGGCATTTGTTAGAAAGCATATTAAAAGCAATGGAAAAATATAAATTCATAGAAACAATAATACAATAAATTTCTGCTTATCTGTTATCCAAACAAGTAGAATTACATTTTTATATATTCTATGCTCTAATGTTAGGTGTGGCACTACAGGATAAACACTGGACCCCAAGGTTGGTTTGAACAGTAAGGTCACAATTTAAACTCTCCAGCCGTTCCTCAGAAACCCTGTAGAGGATGGCTATGAGTCATCAATGGTATAAGGAAGTGGCAGATACAGAAATATATTAAATCATTTACTAAAAAAAAAAGTTTAGTATATGCTATTGCATTTGTAACAGCCAACTTTCTCTGAATCGTCATATAAGACTAAATTACAATCAATATTGCTTTAGGGTTATTGAATACATTTTGTGAAGATATCATATACTTACCATTAAGAGACTGCTGCCATGCTACAGCTGAACAAAGTAAGGCTAAACTTTTCCCACTTCCTGTGGGGCTCTCCAACAAGCAATGCTGCCTACTGTTTAATCCTCTGACAATCTATTAACATAGAAACAATTTTAAAAATCAGTAAACATTTTATTTTACTAGGGGATCATTCCATCAGAAGTACAAATAGAATAGCAAGAAGTGAGGCTGTATTCCAAAGAACACAGCAATAGAAAAGTAGGAACTAGTATTTAGCTAAATCTAGACTTTATTCTTTTATGCCTCTCCCTAAAATTATGTTGGGCTTACAAGTATATCAAGCCCACGGGGAGAGGGTGGTGAGTGGGGGGCAGGGAAGTAGTTTGTGCATTAATTATGCAAATGCCATCACTTTTGCAAAATTGAGGGAAGAAGGTGAGATTTTCTGCTCCTATAAAGGGTTGCTAAGAGTCAAAACAGACTTGACACACACAAGGTATTGTTACCTCTAACTATCTCTGATGAAAACTTAATGGGAGTATAAATTGTTATAACCACTTTGTACAGAAAAGAAGTTTAGTAAAGTTGAAGATGCCCAACTCCAGCAAGTTCAGTCCTAGGCACACACTGGAAATCTTTCCTACAGGAGCACAAGACATGTGTAAGACACTCATAGCAGCTTTGTTTGGCATTTTAAAAGAATATGCACAGCCTAAAAGTCCATCAATAGGAACGTGGGCAATACATTCTGGTGCAGTTATACAAAAGAAGTCATTCCAATGTACCAACAATACAAAGGGCTACATGTTAATAATAATGTTACGCGGGGAGGAAAGAACAAGTTCTACAGAAAGATTAATAAAAGATCACACTAAGTGTGGTGCCTTAGATAAGCACTGAACTGCTAACCACACGTTGGCGGTTCAAACCGACTCCTTGGAAACCCTATAATGGGTCATTGTGAGTCACCACTGTCTTGATAGCATTTAACAACAGCATATAATATTTATTAATACATGCAAGGAGTCCTAGTATAGTATTGTACTGCTAACCACAAGGTTGGTGGTTCAAGCCTACCAGCCGCTCCTCCGAAACCCGATACAGGATTGTTATGAGCTAGAACTGAGTCAATGGCATTTAACAATAACAAAGCATGCATATACAATAAAAATATAAAAAGATAGCTGGGAAAGAGAAAGGTCAAATTGAAGATGCTAGTAACCTTGTTGGGGAGCATGGCGGCACTGTAGGATAACCACAAGATCTGCAGTAGGAGTCCACCAGCTGCTCAGTGAGAGAAAGATAAGACTTTCAATCCTATACAGGGTCACTATGAGTTGGAACCCCCTCAACAGCACTTAGCAACAAAGTAACTGGTTACTAGCAAACAAGATATAGAGTACAGGCATCCCCTGCTCTTCACAAGTTCATTTTCCCAAAAGACCTACATTAGTATGCACCTGTTCTCACTAACTAGAAGAAATGCAAAGATTTTTGCTTTTACAAAACAAGCGAAACTTGCATTCGCATTTGTTTTTCAGCAAGCTGTTAAAGTAACACTGCAAACCCCACTGAACAAGAGTGGGGTCGGCAGCTCCTTCCCCAAGAACTACACTGAGCCTCTCAGCATCAAGTCGCCAGAGATTTCAGCTGAGTCTGTGAACAACATATATTAGCATTACTGTAGGTTTTATGTATTATTCAGTATGATTTGGTAGGTTCTACCACGGGTCTAGGAACACTCAAAAATGTTTCCCGTATAAATTAGTGGTAACTGCTTCTTCTCTTCACACCATTTCAGCTTACAAAAAGTTTGCTAGAAAGGTGCTACTTTAAGATAGTCGGAAAATCTGTATGCTAAAATAGTAACATTTAACAAAGCTGGGAAGCTGATCTACCCCGGTTGGCACATTAATTTTTGGTATAATTGAAATACTTAAAAAAAAAAAAAAAATTAATGGTGAGAAATAATGTATTCTATGCAAAAGATAGTAAATGCTTTGTAAACAGCATTAACTGAGTAAAGTAAATAAACATTCCAAATGAACTGAGAACATTGCTTTATAGTGGTCACCTTTGCCTCCTAACCATGGACATATACAGGTTAGTAAAGATTAATAATATTTATTTTCCCATAATTTACAATGTTTTTCATGTTCTTCCAAATGAACCTAGAAAGTATTCTCAATTCATTTATTGTAAGAAAATGAATGCAGTCATACACACAGTATCGATTATGGATCGTGAGTATCTGCATCTTGATAAATATTCAAAATAACTTCCAAAAATTACTTACAGAATTCATCATTGCAAGCTGTGATGGGTAAGCCTTACAAGGAAAGTTAATCTTCACCCCACCAATTGTATACTCAGAATTTATGGAAGACATCATGCTTTCTTGTTTATTTCAGATTCCTAAATGCAACAAAAATGAAAATCAATATTGCAACTATGACAAAGAAAATCAGACCTCAATGTAAAGACAGAAATCTGGAAATAAAAGTTAGAATGAATATATAAACAAAAGAAAAGGAAGCAAAATAATTTCCGTCGTTTTGTCATATTGTGGTGGTTGAGTGATTCTGGGAGTAATTGAAATATCAGCAGAGTCACCAATGGTGGACAGATTTCAGCAGCTTTCAGATTAAGACAGACTAGGAAGAGATGCCTGGTAATCAATTTCTTGAAAAGCTATGGGTAACAAAAGAACATTGCACAATACAGTGCTAGAAGAGAAATCCCTCATGTTGAAATCCACTACAAACCTGGAGCAGCAATGTATGAACACATCACAAAACCAGGCAATTTTATGTTCTGTTGCAAATAACGTAGCCGTTGAGTCAGAACCAAGTGGACAGAGCTAAGAAACACAAATCGCAGTCCATAGGAGCGTGTGCCTTGTAGTCTGACAAATCTGGATTTGCATCGCTACTCAACCAAGTATGAGTGGCAAGAGTTTAGACAAGCTTCTTAATGTCTCTGGGCCTAAGTGTTCTCCTCTGTAAAATAATGATAGCATCTACCTCATAGGATTGTTAAAAGATTGAATGAAATAATATGCAAAATGATACAGTACATGCCCAATTAAACATGAGCTCTTATTACAAATTTGATCAGATACAATCAACCCATAGAAACAAACAAATTCCTGATCAATGCTCTGTGCAAATCCATGTTGTTGTTGGTTTTTAGTGCCACCAAGTCTGTTCTGATTCACGGAGTTTCTGAAGAGCAGTTTGTGGGTTTGAACCACCACCCTTGCAGTTAACAAGCCAGTATTTATCCTACAGAGCCATACCAGGACTGTTTGCAACTCCATAGCCTAACTCTTTTTCTCTTCCTATTCCGCCCCTTTCTGTTTTCCAGTTAGAAGAAACAACTGTGGAACAGGTATCAGGAAGTTTAGGTTCTAGATCAGGTGCAACAGTAACTCAGCTATGTCTTTTCACTTCTCTGATCTAAGACCCTTAATTGCAATAATATTTGATTTAAAGGTTGCTGTAAGGAAGAAACTTCCCTAGAACACAGTAGAGCTCAATCATTCTTATTTTAAGCAGTCTAAGACCACTTTTTAATCAGTAAAATGGAAATAATATGCGAACCTCAAGGTCGGCAGTTCGAAACTACCAGCCGGTCCGTGGGAGAAAGATGAGGCTTTCTGCTCCCGTAAAGATTTACAGCCTCGGAAACCCTATACAGGGTCGCTATGAGT